GACACACCCATTACTGTAAGTGCGTAACTGTTTGTGTTAGTGTTATAAACAGGATTGAACCGCCGTGAAATGTCTTTGTCACACACCCATTACTTTAAGTGCGTAACTGTTTCTGTGAGAGTTATAAACAGGATTGAACCGCCGTGAAATGTCTTTGTGACACACCCATTACTGTAAGTGCGTAACTGTTAGTGTGAGTGTTATAAACAGGATTGAACCGCCGTGAAATGTCTTTGTCACACACCCATTACTGTAAGTGTGTAACTGTTTCTGTGAGAGTTATGAACAGGATTGAACCGCTGTGAAATGTCTTTGTGACACACCCATTACTGTAAGTGCGTAACTGTTTGTGTGAGTGTTATAAACAGGATCGAACCGCCGTGAAATGTCTTTGTCACACACCCATTACTGTAAGTGCGTAACTGTTTGTGTGAGTGTTATAAACAGGATTAAAACCGCCCTGAAATGTCTTTGTCACACACCCATTACTGTAAGTGCGTAACTGTTTGTGTGAGTGTTATTAACAGGATTGAACCGCACTGAAATGTCTTTGTCACACACCCATTACTGTAAGTGCGTAACTGTTTGTGAGAGTGTTATAAACAGGATTGAACGGCCGTGAAATGTCTTTGTCACACACCCATTACTGTTAGTGTGTAACTGTTTGTGTGAGTGTTATAAACAGGATTGAACCGCCCTGAAATGTCTTTGTCACACACCCATTACTTTAAGTGCGTAACTGTTTCTGTGAGAGTTATAAACAGGATTGAACCGCTGTGAAATGTCTTTGTCACACACCCATTACTGTAAGTGCGTAACTGTTTGTGAGAGTGTTATAAACAGGACTGAACGGCCGTGAAATGTCTTTGTGACACACCCATTACTGTAAGTGCGTAACTGTTTGTGTTAGTGTTATAAACAGGATTGAACCGCCGTGAAATGTCTTTGTCACACACCCATTACTTTAAGTGCGTAACTGTTTCTGTGAGAGTTATAAACAGGATTGAACCGCCGTGAAATGTCTTTGTCACACACCCATTACTGTAAGTGCGTAACTGTTAGTGTGAGTGTTATAAACAGGATTGAACCGCTGTGAAATGTCTTTGTCACACACCCATTACTGTAAGTGTGTAACTGTTTCTGTGAGAGTTATGAACAGGATTGAACCGCTGTGAAATGTCTTTGTGACACACCCATTACTGTAAGTGCGTAACTGTTTGTGTGAGTGTTATAAACAGGATTGAACCGCCGTGAAATGTCTTTGTCACACACCCATTACTGTAAGTGTGTAACTGTTTGTGTGAGTGTTATAAACAGGATTGAACCGCCGTGAAATGTCTTTGTCACACACCCATTACTGTAAGTGCGTAACTGTTTGTGTGAGTGTTATAAACAGGATTAAAACCGCCCTGAAATGTCTTTGTCACACACCCATTACTGTAAGTGCGTAACTGTTTCTGTGAGTGTTATAAACAGGATTAAAACCGCCCTGAAATGTCTTTGTCACACACCCATTACTGTAAGTGCGTAACTGTTTGTGTGAGTGTTATAAACAGGATTGAACCGCCGTGAAATGTCTTTGTCACACACCCATTACTGTAAGTTCGTAACTGTTTGTGTGAATGTTATAAACAGGATAAAAACCGCCGTGAAATGTCTTTGTCACACACCCATTACTGTAAGTGCGTAACTGTTTGTGTGAGTGTTATAAACAGGATTAAAACCGCCCTGAAATGTCTTTGTCACACACCCATTACTGTAAGTGCGTAACTGTTTGTGTGAGTGTTATAAACAGGATTGAACCGCCGTGAAATGTCTTTGTCACACACCCATTACTTTAAGTGCGTAACTGTTTGTGTGAGTGTTATAAACAGGATTAAAACCGCCGTGAAATGTCTTTGTCACACACCCATTACTGTAAGTGCGTAACTGTTTGTGTGAGTGTTATAAACAGGATTAAAACCGCCCTGAAATGTCTTTGTCACACACCCATTACTGTTAGTGTGTAACTGTTTGTGTGAGTGTTATAAACAGGATTGAACCGCCCTGAAATGTCTTTGTCACACACCCATTACTTTAAGTGCGTAACTGTTTCTGTGAGAGTTATAAACAGGATTGAACGGCCGTGAAATGTCTTTGTCACACACCCATTACTGTAAGTGCGTAACTGTTTGTGAGAGTGTTATAAACAGGATTGAACGGCCGTGAAATGTCTTTGTGACACACCCATTACTGTAAGTGCGTAACTGTTTGTGTTAGTGTTATAAACAGGATTGAACCGCCCTGAAATGTCTTTGTGACACACCCATTACTTTAAGTGCGTAACTGTTTCTGTGAGAGTTATAAACAGGATTGAACCGCCGTGAAATGTCTTTGTGACACACCCATTACTGTAAGTGCGTAACTGTTAGTGTGAGTGTTATAAACAGGATTGAACCGCTGTGAAATGTCTTTGTGACACACCCATTACTGTAAGTGTGTAACTGTTTGTGTGAGTGTTATAAACAGGATTGAACCGCCCTGAAATGTCTTTGTGACACACCCATTACTGTAAGTGCGTAACTGTTAGTGAGAGTGTTATAAACAGGATTGAACGGCCGTGAAATGTCTTTGTGACACACCCATTACTGTAAGTGCGTAACTGTTTGTGTTAGTGTTATAAACAGGATTGAACCGCCCTGAAATGTCTTTGTCACACACCCATTACTTTAAGTGCGTAACTGTTTCTGTGAGAGTTATAAACAGGATTGAACCGCCGTGAAATGTCTTTGTGACACACCCATTACTGTAAGTGCGTAACTGTTTGTGTTAGTGTTATAAACAGGATTGAACCGCCCTGAAATGTCTTTGTGACACACCCATTACTTTAAGTGCGTAACTGTTTCTGTGAGAGTTATAAACATGATTGAACGGCCGTGAAATGTCTTTGTGACACACCCATTACTGTAAGTGCGTAACTGTTAGTGTGAGTGTTATAAACAGGATTGAACCGCCGTGAAATGTCTTTGTGACACACCCATTACTGTAAGTGTGTAACTGTTTGTGTGAGTGTTATAAACAGGATTGAACCGCCCTGAAATGTCTTTGTCACACACCCATTACTTTAAGTGCGTAACTGTTTGTGTGAGTGTTATAAACAGGATTAAAACCGCCGTGAAATGTCTTTGTCACACACCCATTACTGTAAGTGCGTAACTGTTTGTGTGAGTGTTATAAACAGGATTAAAACCGCCGTGAAATGTCTTTGTCACACACCCATTACTGTAAGTGCGTAACTGTTTGTGTGAGTGTTATAAACAGGATTAAAACCGCCCTGAAATGTCTTTGTCACACACCCATTACTGTTAGTGTGTAACTGTTTGTGTGAGTGTTATAAACAGGATTGAACCGCCCTGAAATGTCTTTGTCACACACCCATTACTTTAAGTGCGTAACTGTTTCTGTGAGAGTTATAAACAGGATTGAACCGCCGTGAAATGTCTTTGTGACACACCCATTACTGTAAGTGCGTAACTGTTTGTGTGAGTGTTATAAACAGGATTGAACGGCCGTGAAATGTCTTTGTGACACACCCATTACTGTAAGTGCGTAACTGTTTGTGTTAGTGTTATAAACAGGATTGAACGGCCGTGAAATGTCTTTGTCACACACCCATTACTTTAAGTGCGTAACTGTTTCTGTGAGAGTTATAAACAGGATTGAACCGCCGTGAAATGTCTTTGTGACACACCCATTACTGTAAGGGCGTAACTGTTAGTGTGAGTGTTATAAACAGGATTGAACCGCTGTGAAATGTCTTTGTGACACACCCATTACTGTAAGTGTGTAACTGTTTCTGTGAGAGTTATGAATAGGATTGAACCGCTGTGAAATGTCTTTGTGACACACCCATTACTGTAAGTGCGTAACTGTTTGTGTGAGTGTTATAAACAGGATTGAACCGCCGTGAAATGTCTTTGTCACACACCCATTACTGTAAGTGTGTAACTGTTTGTGTGAGTGTTATAAACAGGATTGAACCGCCGTGAAATGTCTTTGTCACACACCCATTACTGTAAGTGCGTAACTGTTTCTGTGAGTGTTATAAACAGGATTAAAACCGCCCTGAAATGTCTTTGTCACACACCCATTACTGTAAGTGCGTAACTGTTTGTGTGAGTGTTATAAACAGGATTGAACCGCCGTGAAATGTCTTTGTCACACACCCATTACTGTAAGTGCGTAACTGTTTGTGTGAGTGTTATAAACAGGATTGAACCGCACTGAAATGTCTTTGTCACACACCCATTACTGTAAGTGCGTAACTGTTTGTGTGAATGTTATAAACAGGATAAAAACCGCCCTGAAATGTCTTTGTCACACACCCATTACTGTAAGTGCGTAACTGTTTGTGTGAGTGTTATAAACAGGATTAAAACCGCCCTGAAATGTCTTTGTCACACACCCATTACTGTAAGTGCGTAACTGTTTGTGTGAGTGTTATAAACAGGATTGAACCGCCCTGAAATGTCTTTGTCACACACCCATTACTGTAAGTGCGTAACTGTTTGTGTGAGTGTTATAAACAGGATTAAAACCGCCCTGAAATGTCTTTGTCACACACCCATTACTGTAAGTGCGTAACTGTTTGTGTGAGTGTTATAAACAGGATTGAACGGCCGTGAAATGTCTTTGTGACACACCCATTACTGTAAGTGCGTGACTCTTTGTGTGAGTGTTATAAACAGGATTGAACGGCCGTGAAATGTCTTTGTCACACACCCATTACTGTAAGTGCGTAACTGTTTGTGTGAGTGTTATAAACAGGATTGAACCGCCGTGAAATGTCATCATGTGGTCATTATGTCGCATTGTCGTGCTTTGGTAAATTATGACATTTTTGTTTTGTGTTTGTAAGGGCGACAATGTCCCTTCTAGGATACCATTACCTAGGCCCTTAGTTTTGTGCAAAGTAGTGCAGGTCAATTCAAATCGAAAATAGATACTGCGCATGACTACAATAGCGTCAACAGGTTTCTATGTAAGTGCAGTTCCTGGACTGGGTGTGACAACTGTGATTTTTGCCAAACATCAACAGGTAAGTAATTTCACTGAACTCATCCAATGTCCGGCACACCGACATGTATGTACATCAGGTAATAACACTGTATAGGTACACTACAGGTAAGATATCTGGTTGCCATATTCGGTTGCCAAACGAAATGTATACACAGGTTGCCTAGCGGTTACACAACAGTATTGTTGATCCCCACGAGGAAGTCCCATCTACCAACAGTGGCTACAGGAGGATATTTGAGGTGATTATGTAGATATCTGGGCATACTACCTAACTGAATAGTCCATCATACGCCAACATGTCTAAAGATGGAAGTGTGACGACTGAGGGCGACAGTTTGTATTTAATGCATAGCTTGGTTGTAGGTCATGTCTTGATGATTGTATTTGGGTCACGTAATAAATCTTACTGAAAGAGTTCCCTTGTGGGGATTTTGTGTGACCGAGCAAACCTTTTCGTTTCGCAGTCCTCGATCCGACTCTGTTGTGAGTAACCATCCTAGATGAGCTTCCACTTACTCTGTATTTGTGGGAGGGGTTGTTTAAGAAGAATTTATCTTTTACTCAGCTGTATCCAACAAACTATTTGTTTACTGAGCACCATCAACTAATCTATTAATTTTCACTATTAACACAACATGTTTGATGTTATGGTATATTTCACAAAACAAACTATTTTTTTTCGCCGCAGCAAACTCTTCATTTTGGGCATACGTCTGAACAAACTATTCATTTTATGTAATAAATTCAGAAAACAAGACTGTGTATTCGGATACACAGATGCTGGCCTTTAGTCCAGATCCAGGCCACACCTAAGTCACAGCAAAATTTTACACGACACGCTTAATACAAGAGCAAATTAAAAGACAAATACCTATTCGGTTTAGCCTCTAGTGAAATATATACTGGTATATAAACTGCTTTTGACAAACATCGATGCATATGTGTGTGTGTGTATAATCCATATGTAAGGCTATGTGCATACCACTTAATATACACTTTGTTACCATAGTATTGTAGTGAATGAGTATGGTTTTACGCCGTTTTAGCAATATTCCAGCAATATCACGGCGGGGGGACACCAGAAATTGGCTTAACATGTCGGGAATCGAACCCGGGTCTTCGGCGTGACGAGCGAAAGCTTTAACAACTAGGCTACCCGACCGCCCCCATTTTGTTGTAGATAGACATTGTATTCTCCCCACGTGGGCGCTTTTTGTATAAAAAATATTCTTCAAACATCTCCTTCCCCCCAACCGTAACCCCAGCCCTAGCCGGGAATTCGACACATTCGGGCTAAAATAGCGATAAATATACTTCGAGTTCGCCGGGAAGGAACTGTGAGTTCAACACCACCGGGGAGTCGACACATCCGAGCTCGAGACAACAGGATTCGACAGTACACAGAAAAATGTAATTGCTCGTTACAACAATATGGATTCAAATATCAGAGTGACATACTTTTAATACATGCATATGTCTATGTTGTATGTGCCGTTACAGCTGACTGCTTTCTCCACTGCATGTAGTACAATTGACTGACTGTTGTGAAGGAATTGTCCTCGGTCGCATAGCGTCCCGGTGCAGGCTTACTGTGTTTCAAGGAAGAACCTTTCTTAGCTCTCGGGCTCGGCAAGTTGACAGTGGATCGATCTGACAACCAGTGTTATCTCACGGGTATCTACTGGTGTTAGGTACCCCGTCTGAGGGCGTCCTGGGTGCAGTCATTTGGTGCCCGCTTGGTCGTCCAGTGTATATAATTGCTTAGGGCTTCTAATTTTAGTGCTTCTCAGTGATTTGTTTTACCTGTTCATGTATTTGGCGGCAGATGCTCAGAACTACACTTTCTCATGATCCTACACAGAACGTATGAAGAATTTGAACTATAAAATCTTTAAATGGATACTTCTTGTGGACAAACTTGGAATAGTACACTCACTATGTAATTTGATAATGAATAGGGCTCCATCCTAACTTGACCTGTACAAATATTACACCCAATTAGTACAGTAATTTGATAATGAGTAACGCTCCGTCCAGATTTGGAATGACTATGACTAATGCAGATGGCAGAAAGTAGGTCGTTTAATCAGTTGAATATTTCAATCTAAATGTGTGCACTTCATAGTCAAGGTCACCATGACAGAAGCTTACAAACAGTTTATGACCAAAAGAACATTAAATGCACGGATACTCCTGGACATACATAGACCGCCTCCGTGGTCTAGAGGTAGAGCGTCCGCTCGGAGAGCGGAAGGTACGGGGTTCGATCCCCGACCGCGTCATACCACTAGACGTTTAAAGATGGTACTTGTTGTTACCATGTCTGGCGCTCTACATAAAGGGGCTGAAACAAGGACTGGAGTCAGTATACTGTGTCTGAGTGGGGTATTCATGTTAAACTGCGACATGGTATCTCAGTGAGCTAGCACTATAAATCGGCATCAGCCCGGACCAGTACAAGCAGCCACACACACACACACACACACACACACACACACACACGTCGCTATATAAGTGCAATAATCTTGGACTCGACGTTGAACCCAATTTCACCTCACCTCACCTGGACATACATAATTTCATTGACAAGGGTCTTGTTAAATATGCTTTGTTCGACGTTGTTGAGAGGTCAAGGTCACTGATGTTTTAAAAGGCAATCGTTGCATATAATGAGCTAAGTTTCCACAAAATATACCAATAAAATAAACATATAATTATGTACTTTACTTCATTTATAACCGGCGTTAAACAACAGACAGCAAACAAACTTCGTAGAGTAGATTCCTTCAATTTGGTTGATTTATCAAACATTTTGTTTTGTCTGAATATATATATTTTTTTGCAATTGCTCCATTTACATTCGTTATACTATTAGAGCTAGTTGCCCCCTTTCTCTTTTTTTTAAAATTATATAGTGATATTTTACAAACGAGGGCAATGCATTAGGTTAGTAAAATCTAACGTAACGGGAAACTATTAGTTATCAAAAAATGGTTCACTAACACAAATAGCAGCTAAGAAAGACATTATACGCACCCTGCAAATAGTTTCATTGTTTACATTGTATATTGAATTATGCATGGGGAAAGTCGTGGTAATGAGCAATAAAAATCAATAAAACAATGAGCTCATAATTTTATGGCTTCCTGCTGTTTTGAGTGGTGTGCATTCAATGCAAGTTTGGATGTGTCTGATATGACTTTAAACTAGTTGTGTCGAGACACAAAAGACGATTTCACAAAAAATCCGAAAATGCTTCAGATGTAACACATTTATTCCCAGATAACCATGTCGGACTACGTATCGGCGTCCGCCATCAAGGACCTCCTCATCGAGTGCCCAATATGTACTGAACACTTTGATGAGGCCAGACGGATACCTCGTCGTATGCCCTGCTGTGTACAGTCAATATGTCAAGCTTGTTTAGAGACGTACAGCAAAGGACTCCCAACGTTATCATGTCCCATGTGTCGACACCAACATAACCTGACGGGTGGTGTGAAGTCTCTGCCCAAAGAGCCTATCATCCTAAGAATCCTGGATCATCTGAAGATTGTGAAAGGGCTCCATCTGCCATGTACAGATTGTCCTGATGGTAACCCTGCCATGTCCAGATGTGATGACTGTGGCGTCTTCCTGTGCCAAGAATGTCTAAATGCCCACAAAAGAGTTAAGTCGATGCAAGATCACCAACCTGTCAGTTTTAAGGAAATGAAAGAACAGCCAGGTAAAAGTTTCCATAAGTGTGCACAACATCACCAACCCCTACAGTTCTACTGCACACCAAAAAAAGGCAAAGTCCATTGACGATACCCTAGTCAAGCTGAAGCAGAAGGCAGAGGAACTTGTGAAAATAAACCAAGGTCTCAAGGAAAGACATTCAAACATACAGGTGTCAAAACAGGCTGCCATGGTTGACATCAACAAAGCCTTTGACGAATTGATTAATGAAATACAGCAGAGGAGAGGAATTCTGTTGTCAAATGTTGAAGAGAGATCCAGCAAGATTCTGAAGCTGACACAGGAGGAACTGGATTCCACCAGTGATATTCTAGCAAAAGTGACATCATCTACCGAGTACACACAACAGATGCGCAGTAAAGCTGACAAGATAGAGGATCTACAAATGATGGGGTCTTCAGCTGCCACCTTGAGCGCCATGTTGGAGATGTCACCAAAGGCGTCACTTAGAAGAGCTGGTGTCAGCTTTGCTTCAACTTGCTTCAGTAAAATTACCCCCTTGTTGAAGATGGCCGGTCTCGTCAAATCAGTTGTCTTTTCACCAACAGAGAATCCAAGTGGAGATGGTGACCTGAATGATGCAATGACTATTGGACACGAGCATGTGCCACAAGGTAATCAGTCTGTACTTTAATTTAATTCAAGCATTTTCTTAAAGACACTTCCTCTATTTTGATATTTTTGTGCATTTTGTTTCATAACTGTGCAGACATCTGACGGTTATAAACTATCCCAATATAGCTGTGAAAACATCCACATGGTAATAATGGTTCGTCATGTCTATTGATACTGAGGTCACCCTAACACATTTGTGTCCACAGCTGCATATATGACCGGGCAGCCGTTGGGAGTAAAAGGATCGCTAGCATGTGAGTTCACCCTCAGGTTGCTTTATTGGTGTGGAGAGCATCACGAAGTACAGTACAACTGTTCACTGCAATGAAGTTCTCTCCTCACTAATTTAAGTTACTTGAATAGTTACTGTAATGTCAAATGAGTCTGTATAAAGATGTTTCTTTCTAAAACCTGTCACAATTTTACAAGATTGAACGGTGTCTTCAAAAAGTCATAGTACACTGAAGTTGTAAATAAAAGCGACAACGCCCTTTCCATGCTAAAAGCAGATCTGTTATGTGATTCCGACAATATCACAACCATGTGTTTATGAATCACTATTTTTACCTGTCGTTTCCTAAATTGAAACAGTGTGTTAACCCAGAAATATGTATTTAAAAGAACTCAGTGTCAAACCAACAAACAACCAACAAATGGTATACAATAAACAAATGTACTACAATATTAACTAGGTTTACAAATCAATACAAATTAATGTAATTACAATGGTAGTATACAACATAGTGGTCGTACAATATTCAGTGACAGTATATAAAATGATGACAGTGATCAGTATCAAATACAAAACTACAGTGGTGATAGCAAAAGTCAGTGATAATACTATATTCACCCACCGGCGACAGTGGTCAAGCTTCTGAGATGGCCTAGAATTGGAATCCGGGGTGATGAGTGATCTTCACACGAAAGCTGGACTTGATGTAATGAAATGTGGGGGCGGAGTGGGCAAGTGGTCAAAAGCGCCATGCTAGCAAGCGCCATGTGCTGAGATCGTATCCCGCTAGTGACCAGGTTGATATTCAGCCTTGGGACCAACAATGTTTACAGGTCTTTACAGTGTTGTCACTACCCCTAGTGTACAGTACATACACCCTTTGCACTCAAAAAAAACCCACTCGTCCGTTGGTAGATGACCAGATGGTGGAAACACGAATATGTACATCCACCCGAAACACAAGTGTAAACACGTGTGGTGTCACCCTGGGCAAGTGACTCAGTTCAAATGTGCCTTTGTTCACCCAGCAGGGAATGGGTACCCGATGTCAGGTGAATGTAAAACCTTCTAGCGCCTCTGAGCAGCTTGGGTTGTATACTTTCCTGTGAGTTGAGAATGATAACTGGAATGCAAACGGATCCACTGGTCCGGAAACAAATAAACCCGCATTTGGACAGATACTAGTACCTCGATACCTGCAGTATATTAATGTGTAGTTTAAAAAAATATGTGAGAGATACAAGACGCATGCTCTTCCCTTTATATACGGTATGATCAGCTGCTAGAAATTTCCACACAGTGCCATCACAACATAGAATATTCTACATGTTTCTGTTACACTCACACAATCCACGTTATTCCGGCAGTTTACACCTCAAACTTACCGCTTACATTAAATAGCACTACATTCCTGACAACTAATCACTGTCCACAAAGCACAATGTTTTACTTAAAACTGTGAGGTTTTTTCAACAGTTCAATAGTCTGAAGCCCCAAAGGACTTTAATACAAAATACAGTCCATTGAGTCTTCTTTTCTTCTGTTGACCAGCCAGAACTGTTTGATAACATTGTACGCTAATTGGTTATCTGTCCCTTGGAGAGTCTTTCTGCAACTGTTTCACGTCCCTTTGGATGGTTGATCTGCCATAGACTGCTTGTAAATCAATAGCGTGTCCCAGTGTCCTCAGACCTAAGTTGGAGACATAGCGGGAACCTTCTTAATTAGCACTTCCTTGGCAGAATCTCCGCACCAACCCGTTGCTCCATAAAGTCTCCTGGCAAATCCGTAAATGCTGCATTTTCTCCTTGCTGTACCCGCTCCAACCATTCTTCCAGTGACTCATCCGAGGCCTGATTAAATACTGCAGTAGATCATCTTCCAAACCGCCTTTCGCGTTTCTTGATATTTTCATGGAAACTGACGTACTCATCCTTCTCTAGAAACAAGGGGAAGAAGTCAGCTGCTTCACCCATGAGCCAGTAACACAGCATATCCTCATTCTATTGCTGGGAGTGGTTGAAGCAGTGAAATTTCACGGAAAACAAGTGTTGCAAATCATTCGTCTGTGCCTTTTGGATCCTCATAAAGATATACGATTTACTCACGCAATGGTTGAAATCCAAAAAAACAGACCCAATGCTAGAGATTTTATTATCCTCCAGCAGTTCATCTCCAGGCACAAGGCTTTTCTGATGAGTGAGTTTGATTTTACGCCGCTTTTAGCAATATTCCAGCAATACCACGGCGGGGGACACAAGAAATGGGCTTCACACATTGTACCCATGTCGGGAATCGAACCTGGGTCTTCGGCGTGACGGGCGAACGCTTTAACCACAAGGCAACCCGACCGCCCAACTTTTTCTGATGATAAATACAGAGACCTTGATGCAAAGGTCTCCTGGGTGGATGAGTTTACATGTTTACCATACCACAGGGCAGAGTTACCATGAATTGCCTGATTTTGTTTGGCCTGCCCCCCAATCCTTCTCTGATGGATATTCATCTGAGCTCTTTGGGGGACCCGACGGGCAATCCCCTCAGTATTATCATTCTATTAGTGCCCATGGGTATGTGAGCGACATGGTGTTGCCATTATCATAGGATCTGGATTCCATCTTGACATAAGAAGGTTCTCCACAACAGACCCAATGCTAGAGATTTTATTATCCTCCAGCAGTTCATCTCCAGACACGAGGCTGTGACCCTTTTCTGATGAGTTAGTTTGATTTTATGCCGCTTTTAGCAATATTCCAGCAATACTACGGCGGGGGACACAAGAAATGGGCTTCACACATTGTACCCATGTCGGAAATCGAACCTGGGTCTTCGGCGTGACGAGCGAACGCTTTAACCACTAGGCTACCCGACCACCCTACTTTTTCTGATGACAAATACAGAGACCTTGATGAGTTTACATGTTTACCAAACCCCTGGGCAGAGTTACCATGAATTGGCTGATGTTGTTTGGCCTGCCCCCAACCGTTCTCCATACCTAAGGACTAGAGCTTGTCTCTGCTGGATATTCATCTGAGCTCTTTGGAGGACCAGAGGGGCAATCCCCTCAGAAGTGGCCTTTGTCCTAGAACTCCGACTGGACACTTCCGTACAATGTAACTCAGATTGAGTGGTTGGCGTGGATGCATCAGAGAACGGCCAGTTCCAGGATTGTAAGGGGTATTGGTTTCCAGGTTGGCTTACACTCAGAGAAAACTGCCATTTCCTTGCTGAAATCCTGAGGTGAGGTTATGTGAGATGGGAGATGAGGTTAACGCCGCTTCCAAGATTATTGCACCTATTTATCGACATGCATGCACGTATGTGTGTGTGGTTGATTGTACTACTCCAGCCAGTTTTATTGTTCTAGCTCACTGAGATACCATGCCGCAGTTTAACATGAATACCCAACTCAGAACAGTATACTGGAGGGTAGATTAGTGTCTCGCATGCGAAACGAAATGAACAGCTGGCAGTCGTCTCTAACGCCTTTGCAGAGTTGCGTCCCTTGTGTACGCTACTTACATCCCTGAGACCTACATCCCTTCGGGCTTTCCTCCCACAACTAGAATACTGTTAAAAGCGTAATAAAACCCAAATCACTCACTGACTCATTTAATTACAAAGCATATGTTTCTAGTAATCGGAATTTGTAGTATGTTCCGACTTCACATTCAAAACTAACTACTACAACCCTGCTGAAGTCAGTCTATCTGATACTAAATGTTGTCCTTCAATTGTCCAAATATGGCAGGTAGACTTTCGTTTTATTAAATATTATTTTTTCTGATTTACCGACATGTTATACTTTAATCCATATAGTATTATCCTTAATATTCACGGAAACCATAGCAATATTTATATTACACTTTCATCCCAGATTGGGCGGTCGGGTAGCCTAGTGGTTAAAGCGTTCGCTCGTCACGCCGAAGACCCGGGTTCGATTCCCGACATGGGTACAATGTGTGAAGCCCATTTATGGTGTCCCCCGCCTTGATATTGCTGGAATATTGCTAAAAGCGCCGTAAAACCATACTCACTCACTCATCCCAGATGAAGCTGACAAGTCGCTAGATAAGTGCAATAATCTTCGACGCGACGTTAAACCCCATTTCACCTCACCTTAAGCTGACACGCCGTGATATGACTGTTCTACCGTTAAAACCCAATTCACACTCGAATATAACATTTAGTATAGTTGTTTGTATACACAGTAACGCATTCACCTGATACGCACGATGTGTCTTCTGCCCAGGTGTGGATCTGGAATGGGACTCCAGTATTGCAAGTGACGGACTGACGGTTTCGGGACCAGTTGTCACCAATGGCAAACAAGAACATCTTCCACCAAGGACAGGATGCCGACCACTTTCAGCTCGCAGAGTCCTGACATCAACACCTCTGGTCATCAGGCCAGGACAGACCATCATGTACGGCATGGAGGTCACATACTCTGTCATAACACCATCGGATAACAATGGCATTATCTTCGAAGCAGCTTTGACTGACAGCCCTGTTGATGCTAACAAGCAGCAGACAACTGGATTGGGTGCATATTTGGTTACATGCAAGAAACATAATGGAATATGTCTAAAGGTGTGCTACAACGGACAGTGTCTGACTGATGACAACCTTACACTGGACGAGAGTGGTACAACTTACAGCCTGGATTTGGGATTCGTTCTTGAAGAGGAAACACATACAGTCCATGTCCTGGACATGATAAACATC